AATGTTTATAGTTTACACAGTAATAAACAACTTTTTGCAAGAAAATCTCTGAAGCAATTACCAACCTAAAAGACATTCGTAAGAAAGACATTTTACTTTGACCGTGCGACGATGCAATCATAATAAACTAATTGTGTCTTTATTATTTGACGAGCAATCTGTATCTTATAATCTGTGGTTTTAACATCGAGAGTAGGCAATCCGTTAAATGTATACATTTATCGTGCGACCCTGTATTGGTGTACTATTGCGGTTTGCGGATTTACAATGGCCACAGATTCACAATTTTCATTGACAAACCGGAAACACCATAAACCAAATACTCATAACATCACAATAATTGTATTGCTGCCATAATCAAATTTGTATTTATTACTAAAATGTTTCATTAATTTACTTATAAAATATATCACTAATGCGTGAGAAGCTACCCTGCTACCCTTTTCTCCGGTACAAAATGGTGTTCAGATAAATCTAAGTATAGAAAGAGATGGTGGGTACAATCGTTTAAACAAATATCGTCTGACAACTCATATCAGTAACCGTGCGGCACCGTTGACGTAGATTTTACTACCATGTAAATAATTTCATTTCGGGTCTACGCTAATACTTTTGTCATTATTGAAACATTACATACTTTATTGCATAAAGATCAGAGGTCGTAGATTCAACTTGTAAGATATCGGCTATGATGAAATCAGTTCACTACGGCGGTAAAAATTAATAGGTCCCTACTAAGACAGGTTTTTCTTTGGATATATTATAATAATAAAAAGTTAATACCCTTTTTTCTGGATACGTAAAAAAACTAGTATTTAAAACAACGTAGTTTTAATTATTATCAAGGCGAAACAACTATAGGTACTAAAAATACTTGTTTCACACTTGGGTTGAATGTTTTTACAATATTAATATTCCAAGTGTAAATACGTTCGATTCTTTATCGAATCGTCTGGACTTCTTCCTTCACGACCACCATTTGCCCTCTACCGCACCCCCTTCTACTCGAGTCAACGGAGTCGGCCACCCTGTGCTAGTCAACGACCTCCATAAAACACAGTCTCTCACATCTGATGTTATACTTACGCTCTGATGTCTGTCCTTCCTCACCTACGTTTCTCCTATACTTATCATCAATAAATCTTTCTCATCTAGCTTCCGCTTTTGCGGAAGTATTAAAACCACTTCAGCCGGTCCTCTTTTGTCTCGTACAACTATATTGAATTTCAAACAGTTTTTTTAAAAATATTAAATTAAAAAAAAACGCACATTTAAAATCTGCCTTAAAATCGATAACATCAAATATAAAACGATATATATAATATATATTAGTTTTGAAACAAGTTTCTATAGTATTCAAACACTCTGTATAGTTGGTAATTAAATTTTTTCACAAAGGAACATGGCTTAATTTTCATTATTACATAATTGCATGTATATTTTTAACAATTTTCGCTGTCCGGAAAATGTAGAATACGATCAATACGTTTCTTAATGCTAATCCTTAGATAGACTATGTGTTGTTATCCGTTTCGCATAGCTATATTATTACACGTCCTTATTACAGAGTTTATTGGGTAAAATTTTAATACAAAAACTTGAAGGATATCTTGCCGTGTACAACAGATTGAAATATTATGTTTTCCCACTTTTAACGTACCCACACCGCGATCAATAACCAACGTTATACCGATTTTACGGGTCCGTGTAGAGGCGGCTTTAATCTCGTTATTCACAGCCCGGCTCGTCTGGGTGCCAATCAAATCAAATATTATATTATTTTATCTTATAGGCAACCCAAAGTATGGTCGGGGTGCAGACGTTGCGGTTAGAAACTTAACACATCAAACGTGAAACCGCGTGAAATTTTTTGGGACGGCAAAAATTTAATATAGAGAAACCGATTGAATTGCTCTAAGGCGCGCAGTACATACACAAATAACATAATGTATGATAGAAAAGCAGCGAATCCTTCCCCGCTTGATCCCTACTCCTTGGCCTAAGACCGCGGTCGTCGGTAGAGACTTCCAATGGCAGAACGATCGTGTCCTGCGTGCAAACCATGTCGACGAAATCGTATTGACCGTGCAGGTGGTGACAGGCGGTCGTATAACGATATTAAATACACAGCAATCGGCCAAAGAGCGTGTACAGCTATTTGCAGTGTACAGTGCAATACCTATAGTACACTACTGATTTAGAGAGAGTAAATGGCCGCTATGGAACTATAATGTTATTATTATAGTTTATCATAAAAAAAAACGACGGCGGCGTTGCTTGCGTTTTTGCCGTAACCGTATACCGCGAGTGGCGAAAAAATAACAACAATATAACCAGTGTGTTTTGATTCATTTATACATGGGCCATTGCTAATATTATTGTTAGATAAAACGAGGGGGAAAAACAATATATAAACACAAAAAGCGCCACAAACAGACGTGGCCGGGTGCCGGAGATTGTTGACGTTTTAAAACATGGCCGATAATTTAAACAAGACGACAATAATAATTATACCTATATAACTTTTGTGTTATTAACGGCGAAAAGTGAGAAAAAACCAAACACAATGTGCGTGCCGTTTAGGTCTAGGTCACGTCATCTACGGGGGTCTTCAGAATTTCATAATACGGCAAATTCGTTCCATGGATTATGAATTGTTTTAGCTATGTAAACACATCTTAGAAAAAGTCTTTATCGCACATAAATCATAATAAATGATCAGTCGGAAACGGTAGCATTTTGTAGGGTAGGAAGACTTTGAGGGTAAGTTTTAAAAGTGAAAATAGCAACCTACTTATTCTAATATATTTTGGTTTATCGATTAAAACCAAACCAATAAATTAAATCCAATTATGATGCAATAAAAATAATGACCGATCGATAACCTGTTTTTAATAAATAATTAACTAGGCAGTTAAAAACGTTTAATGGTTTAAAAAGGAAGAGGTAAACTATTAATTATTAATTATTGTATTGTTATCTTTATCCTTGCACAATACTCGCCGGCACTTACCAATCCTCCTCGACTCAATTGCTAATAACTCGAAATGTATTTATTCAAAACTGGTTATCGACCATCATTTTCATTTATTATCATTGCTGTTGTTAAAATAAGTCAAAAATATAAACGTAGGTTGACTTGTAAAAGTATATTATACAACGTTTATAGTGTTTTTTATATTATAATCAAGATCATAATTGAAATATTTTTTAGCTGAAACAATTATTATTTTATAGAACAAATAATAATAATTGTACTATGAAATTTTAAACCCACAGAATATTATGTTACGGGAACGCAACTGGTTGGTGGTGAACGTGCATTTGAAATTTCCGACGGCTTCACGTGGAAAGTATTTATCGATTAATATAATATATTCGTTTGATGTTTTAAACATAATTTATGTACCGAATAATTGATTGTATTAAATTTTGCAAGTATTATTGAGCTAATTGCGCTGTTGATATTTCCTATGAAATTAATTGCGAATACCTTTATAGAGTATTTTTTCTACGCGGGTAAGTAATAATAGAGCGTTTTTTTTTTGCATTTGACCAAGAAGGTACATATTATTGTTGCCGTTTTTTTTTTTTTTTTGTTAACCTATTTTCGTACATTGCAACCGCGGCCGTCACTGATAGCGTTTTGCGGGTTTTGCACATTTCGAACGGAAATCGATTGGCGAAATAGCCCTTCTACATAGAATTGACGTACGAGTCCGCTTGCAGCGCAAACGTGCCACGTGTCGTGACAAAAAAACAAAATACAATAATTATTAACAATTAGTATTTTAAATAGCACAGGCGGCCGCGCACGGGACACCAGCTGCTATACAAGAGTCAAAGTTGACAAAATTAAGAAAACCAAAATGCCTAGGTTTTGCCCGTTAAAAAATCGAATCTTATTTTTACCGGTCACAACTCATTTTTCCGGTACATGTCGAAATTCAATTGTTGTCTATCCTTCTCGGACGAGGGCCCCCGACTATCGTGTTATACGGGTCCTTTCAATGGGGCTGCGTCGATTTAGTGCTACACTCTCTGTCGTATAATAAATAATTAGTTTTCAATAGTAATAGTAATATGTAATAAAAGTTGAAACCGTCGTCGGCCTCGACTACGGCAATCCGGACTGGACCGGCACAATACCGAAGCTGTTATGCCTACTACAATGTGTGTACAACACAGCTGTACCTACCTATTTTGTCAACCGATAATAATTATTATTATCGAATCGTTTACCTTAACGACGCGCGTTTGGATGTACAACATCTATTATGTTACAAAAAAATGGGGGTTACAAGTGTGTGTCAAACTCGTTTTACTGGTATTGCTGCGACGGTGGAAAGGGTAAAGGGAAAAAAACACACGTTTTCAAATGCGAATTAATAATAAAAATTGGGACGCCGTGAAGGTTTTCCAGACGTGTTTCGTCATCGGGCAACACTCGGACCCGTCGACCGCGGTGTGTTGTTTTTTTTTTTTGCGATTTTCAATAGGAATTTTTCTTGTTTTTTTTTTTTTTTTTTAATATTTTTAACAACGCTACAATAATGTATTTACGGGTAATGACGACGATGATAATAGTAATTAGTTTCACTGAACACACACTACACGACGGCGGTCTCTAGTGGGTCGTTCGCAATACATGCACAATATACACACAAACGTATTCGCGACACGATCACAGCAAGCGCAGCTGTGGTGGCACCGTGGCCGTGTGCTATATTATTATTATTGTAAATCGTATATTATAAAAAAAAAAAAAATCGTATCGCGCCGTACGTCGTTAAAGCGAAAACGACCGATTGATTTATACTATGTATGTAATTTTTACAACCGTCGTTTAATTTTTTTTTATTATTATATTATTTTAGAGACTTTGTTTTGACCGCGTTTACACCGACGATTATTATTATTATTATTATCATTAAGCGTATTACTAATATTAACATGAATATATTATACGTATAATATAATAATAATATATATTTATATACCGGGTGTTTTGCAGGCGACGTCGTGCAGAGGGTAGTAGAGGTGATGGCAGTGGTCGCTGATAATGGTCCCTCCTGTACAGTATCGCGTCGGATACAGACGACAGAGAGACACACACACACAAACACGGAGATAATAATATATACCTAATTATCCTCTGGACGTCCTTTGTAGACGACAATGTGTATGGCATATATTATACGGCCGGTTTTTGTATAATAATACGCGTCCGTCCGTCGGTGTTTAGCGTAGGGCGCAAGCTCTCTCTGGCCGGGGTTGTCGTCGTCAGGATCCTATCATTGTTCGCGAATGGCACCGCGACAATACGGTTTGTACACGGTGTACGTGTGAGTGTGTGTGTATAGATATGAATTTTGTCTACAGCGATATTGGCGTCTGCGTCTCGTCGTCCGTGTGCCGTGTGATAACGTATGATATGATGATAACGTGTGACCCGGCGGTGGTCGTGGTCGTGTGTGTGTGTGTTTTTTACAACGTTCGGTTAGGATTTTGGGTTACACGGTTTATTAATACAAACAACACGAACGACGCACGGTGTACTCGTTGAAAATTATGGTATATAAAATTTTCATAAAAAAAAATGTAGGTAAATTACGAGAGAAAAACAAAAACTAGATATGTCTGGTGGTTTAATATTTGTGCGGGCGAATGACGAGATAACGGTGCGCTGCGCTGTTCGTACGACGACTGGCGGGTCGCCGGTTCGACGGTCACCGGCCCCACTACGGCGGCGGCGCCGGCGACTAGAAAGTGTTAAATATCGGCAATCGCGCGTTTAAGCGGCGCGCGCGCACGCCGTTCCGGTCGCCCAAGCCGTTGTGTTCGGGAGCGATAGGATCCTAAAGAGACAAAAAAAAATTTCAAAAAAAAAACAAAATATATAAATTATTATATGTTATGTATGTTTTTGACGCCTATAATGCACACACTCGACACCTATTCAGTGCACACGCACAAATAAACAACCGAGGTGGCGGCGGCACAGGTGCGTTTTGTAATATTGAAAATAAAAAAAACACACCGATATTTCCAATATCCCTCGTCCAAACTATAGGCCGTTAAAAAAAATATGACAATCCTAATGATACCGTTACACCAGTAGGTAGCTGGTATCAATCGTTCATCGCTATCGCGCGCAACCCTTTCATAAGATGTCATCCGATAACAATGTCACAATCATAATACCCGACAACTCTAATTTGGGGCACTGCCATTCATTAAATAATAGTATTTCGAGTGGTCGTTAAATTAAACGTTTTTTTTCATTTTCGAGATAGTCAACATTCAAATTATACAACGCACATTAAAATAATGTAATTAAGACAGCGAGATCAGATAGGATATTGCCTAGGTTAATGCATTTTTCGGGAAAAAGAAATCATCACCTACAACCTCAATATCAACAATATATGTTTTTCAATGTTGAGCAATTAATGAACTATATTATTTCGATCTAAAGCAGAGTTGTAGTATAACTAATTTTATAATAAAATTACATTTGAACTTGGGTGAAGATTCATTCGTCTAACTGGTATGTTGTGTTATATTAAATACAATTAAATAGTTAAATCATGTAATGCTTTAAAATATTTCATAACTTAACTCCTTGTTGTTAGTGGTGTGGGGGCGAAACCCCTGCGAGTCTATTTGCTACACCTAAAATTCAAGCCTCCTCCCTAATATTATATAGGATCTCGCATATGCACTTGAACCTATACTCTTTTGGTTTTCGACACTTTATTTGTTAGGTTGGTGAAGATAAATGTTGTCGAGTTGTTGACAAACTAGCGTAAATTAAATTATTAAAGGGCAAAACAAAAAAAAGTAACTCTAGGTAAAATATATGGTTTTAAACTTCATAGTTCACTTTCTGTCATTTAATAAATATTAATTTATAACCATAACTATTCCCTGCTCATTTCGGGATATTCACAATTTTCCATCTAGAGGATATCACATACATAAATTCAACCCTGAATATATCAATAAACACAAATGAGAAAGTATGAAATACACATCGTAAGTAGTTAACAGTGGTATTATTATGGTGCATTATGTCAGTCATATTTTTAAACTGTTGTTAATTAAAACGCATAGAAATAAGTTTTATGAGTCAATTTTTTTGTCCTTGTTTGCTCGTAATATATATTTTTTCCTCTAAAAAACCACTAAAGAATATATAATAAAATTGTCAATAAGATAAATTATAATATAAAAAGTCATAAACGCAGAGACATCATACGGGTGTAAAAATGTATCTCTCAAGACTGAAGACAGATCAACCTACTTATGCGCGCAATTAAATAAACACTCCTATAATTCATATTAAATACAAAAAATGAATTTAAACCTCGACGAATCGACCTAGACCGATTTTTTTTATTGAGTTTCATATACATATAATATCTCATGCATAATGTCATTATAATTCCATAATGGGTGGCGTCTAGACCGGGATACCTCCCATCCTTTGAGTATGGATCTAGTTGATAATAATCATAACCAACATCAGAGTCATAAGTGTAAATTAATACAAACGAGAAATTACTTAATCTTAAACATACTTTTTACGAATGTATTTTTTTTACAATAATTTATTACACGATAGCTTTATCGATTATACATTATTATCTATAATTTCAGAACAATTAGTACCAACCAGGTCAAACCAGAATATTGTTATATCATATTGCCCACCAAGTGATGAAGGAAAAAATTGCTAATCGCTTTACAATCATATTGAAATTTTCATTATTAATGTATATATGCACACAAATAAAAGTAAAATAGTACCACTCATAATGTCATGTTGCATGGACGTGCTTAAGTGTTTAACGAATCGTTAAATATTTAGTATTTTCTGAAAGATCATTTAGTGACTTTGATTGCTCCATTAAAATGTTTATGAACCATCGTATTTAACACTATTTTTTTGCGACCCGGGGGCATTAGTTAGTATATCATATGGTTGGATTGAATATGATTTTATGTAAAAATATTTTGACAATTAATACGAAATAGATATTAAACATATGTGATATATATATATATATTCGTTATTGATGAGTGAAACGTGGGTCACGTGTACATTTAGGATTCGTCAAACGATTTTCCGTTAAAATATATTTACACAAATTAAACGTAACACTTGATAGTTATTAACATTCAATTAATTTGTATACTATTTCGCCACCAGAATTCGAATTGTAAACAAACACAATTAAATTCATTCCAAACCTAACACTGTTAAGTAGATACCTACACGAAATAAAGGGCCCTTGCCAGTGGCGTAAATGATCTGAGAGTAGCTATGCGGCCAGGCGACGGTTAATGGTAATATTTTTATGTTCTTCCAACTTGTAGTACACATACACGCATAGCAATATTGTTGTTCTCCTTTTATTTAGTACTGTTATGTACTCTTAGGGTGTTTGTAAAGTACATAAGTATATTCAATATTATTAATTGACCAATTTTTCAATATAAGAACAGTAGGGTGTTTAGAATACCCTATGTAATTGAAGGTTAAATATTCATAACTGTCGGGTGTTATAAGGCGATAGGCATTACATACAATTTTTATTAGAAAAATGTTGAAAGAACATCATGGAAAAATCAACATTAACCGTCATCTACCTTAACTGCTCTCAGATAATTTACGCCACTGGTAATGGCCCTTTATTTCGCGTCTTTAAGGAAACAATTGTCAAATACTTTTTGTATAGTCGACGATTCTGATACGTAGGTTAAACCATAATACACTATTCACTATTGAATATAACATTATGAAGAATAAAAAAAAACTACACCATTTTATTTTTCTGCTATCGGAGCGATAATTGATCGTTACCTACTTTCCAAACGCGTTTTTTTTTATTGGTGTCGACCGAAAACACAATATTTAATACGTTCGGATATTTCGATACGTTCACTGATCCGATTAAAATAACTCGGTTGTAATATTATTTTATAATATGTTACGTTTGTATTATCCAACCCAACTACATTCCCACGAAAATACTACAATAGCAAAAACCAAAAGGTGTACAAGTGTTATTTGTTTGCTCTTTTAAGTCTTTTAGAATAGAATTGAAAACTAAAAAATGCACCGCATCCTTACGGTGTTCTTTATTGTACACAACCATTTTGAAAATTAATAGTCAATCGTAAAATAATTACACGTCTTCGAATATAAATATAAAGATCACAGTATATAAGTCTTATTATAGAATACTCGGAGACAAACCTTATTTTAGCTGGAGTCCTTACTTTTGTTTTCAATTTTGAATACTCCTATTTTATGAGCACTAAATGATAATATTACGCCAAAGAGAGACAAGTACTACCGACTTGTTTGGTTTCAGCAATATTCAAAGAATAGTGAATATACCGTTAGATTATCGGCTCTCGGGCCCGAAGGGAGACACCATAATTAGCTCAATATAAATCATTACTGCGTGTAACGGTGAAGATCCACGTCGGTCGAAAGGGAACGGTTCGACCTTGTAATCACAGAGCCAATCTAGGTCTGAAACTTTTTTCACTTTTCATTTGAGTTTTCATTTTCACTTGAATCGTTTGTATTAATATACAAGATTAACTCGCTTAAAAATTAAAATATTTTAATTAATATTAACACTATAGTCCCAACTACCATAAGTATAGGTTTAGTGTCTTACACGTCAACATTATATAAACGACATGTACCGTATACCGATGGACTCATGTGGGACATATAATATAGTTGCGTGATAGAACGATATGGAAATTAAAATTAAAAAAAAGAAGCGAATCATCAAATGTTTTCGTTAAACTGTATTGTTAATTTGATTGTTTGCTAAATATTTATTTTTAACGCGTGCTAGCGATCGACATGGCCTCTTTCCTGATGTGCAGTATATATACATACATATATAACCCGTTCATAGTATATCATATTGTGTTGTATCGTATTCAAATGCAACTAATAACAACAAGTTGTTTAACCAGCTCTGTCGACACAAAAAAATTAATATCGCCGTACATACGTCACGGAATTATATGTATATACAAATTCCACTCGTTTCTGCTGTATTCGAAGTTTTCAATGAAATTTAAAACCCTAACGGGCTATGCAGTTGGCAAAAAAGTGGGACACATCCATTATATGTTATAATAGTTAGTAATTGCAGTAGGCTACTAAACCTGTTGCGAAAAATTGGTATTAAAAATATTATTAATAAGTAACGTTTATTTTTTCAAAAACCCGTGATTTATTCAACGCCTACAATAATAATTTAATTGTATAAAAAAGTACGCGTGGCTTATTATGGATTTTATTTTTAACGGCGTTCGTTTCGTTCAATAAAAAAACTGTATATAATAATTAATTGTTTTTTTTTTAATACACAATGTTTATCTAATGCGTACAAAAGAACCCAACAATAATTTTTTTAAGCTTCCCTTCAATAAATAAAACGTGAACGCTAAAAAAAAATTCTACAAAATGTTGTAGTCGACTTTAAAGAATAAATGGTATCTCGGTTTAAGTAAGTCATCTTTAATTAAGTAATGTTCGGTAGAGAGTTTTATACAACATTTTTAGTTGCCACTTTTCACTTACTTAAACTAAATATTTTTTTAGATGTTATTTTTATTTAGAGGTATATTTTTAGGAGCAACAATAATATGATTTCTGAAATTT